AACGCATTGACCGTTTTCAATGCATTCCAATGGGTTTTTTTTTGGCTTGACCACGATTTCGCTGTACAGCGATTTTGCTGGAACAGATTATCGTCGTCAAGCAGGGCACCAGTGTACTGTACATTTTCCACTTAGATGTCTTTTGAACGTAGCCTTTGCAATATTGTTAAATGTAGTCCAATTTTACCACATTCTGCATCCAAAGAAATTTGCTTTTGTCAGGGGCTGTGAGTTGGACCCTTGCCAACAATGACCTGGTGCCCAGTATCCACAACACCCTTCAGCAGCCAACCCTAAAAGCACCAGAGACAGTGGTGCCTCACAGAGAGCTTCTACACAAAAGCTGCCTGCTGGTACCAACCATCCCTGAGAGGCCTGAAACCATTTGGCTTGGATAGTGAGACTGCGGACTGTGTCAATCCCAGTGGAACTAACTGAGGACGGCTGGGGGAAGGGAAAGACCCTGGAATTGTTGGAGTAACTGAGCCCAGAGATGGACCCAGTGACCAAACAAAAGGAACTCTGGGTTAGAAGTGACTGGCGTGTCCCTAAAGTCTCCTTTTGAACCTTACACTGAGTCCTGGCCTGCGGCAGTCGCCACAGCTGACTCTATCCCCATTGCCCCAGTCCCAGCTGGGGCCAGTGGAGCACACACTGTGTGCCAGCTTCTGTGTAGAATATGACGATCTGTTTTTATTAGCAACTCTAATTTAGCAGAAAATTGGGATGATGGAATTGAGTATGTTATATTTTGTTTTTAAGAGAAAAGTAAGGGCATGACCTTTTCAAAATGCGTTTGTGTCTCCATGCTGAAGGTCATAGTATTAATTTCGGTATTTCAAACCGCTGGCTGTGATATACTGTATCATTTCCCCCTCCTTGTTTGAACATACATTACTAAGTCCTGTTTCATGGTGCTGCTGATATTTCACTCTTAACTATATGTATTTGTTTCATCTATGGGGACAGGAGATAAAAATATTTTGTCATCTTCTATCTTCCTTCACTTATATTGAGAAACAAATCAGGCAACACTGACTTCTGAGTAACTCTATAGGCAAGCACAGAAATAACTGAACTACATACAGTGGTGCCTCACTTAACGATTGCCTCATTAAATGACGAAGCCGCTATACAATGATTCTTTTGCGATCGCTTTTGCGATCGCAAAACGATGTTTTAATAGGCAAAATCCGCTTATTGGTTCCCTGCTTTGGGAACCGATTCTTTGCATTACGACGTTTTTAAAACAGCTGATCGGCGGCTTCAAAATGGCCATCTGCTGTGTAAAATGACTCCCCGCTGTGTTTTTGGATGGATTCCTCGCTTTACAGGCACCGAAAATGGCCGCCCCTATGGAGGATCTTCACTGGACGGTGAGTTTTTAAGCACATTGGAACACATTGAACGGGTTTTCAATGCGTTTCAATTGGATTTTTTATTTCGCTTAATGAGGATTTCGCTCTACAGTGATTTCGCTGGAACGGATTATCCTCGTTAAGCAAGGCACCACTGTAGTATATTAAATGTATCAGTAGGGAAGCAATTAGTGATTAAAGCTCACCAGTGGATTATTTTCCTGCTTCCTTTTAGAATTTAGCCAGGTGACATTAGACTCTAGCCTTAATGGATTACTAAGGCAAAAAAAATAGGCATTTAATAAAAAAATAGAAGGAGTAAACTTTCTTTAACAAGTAAATAACTTTAGCTAACAGTAACCAAAGAGAGAGAGAAAAACATGAGACTACTTAGATTCCTCTGCAGAGCCATATAAGCAAAAGAAAAGCAGACTGCAGTGCCAATTCTTGTTTTTTCTTCTTTTTATCTTATTTAACCTTATTAACCCTTTAATTTAATTTTTAAATGAATAATTAATATCATATTGTTAATAAATAAAATATATTAAAAAGTTTTTTTACGTTGCTAATAATACTACATATTTAGTAATTATATCCTATGAAAATTACTTTATTTTAAAATTAAAAATAAAAACAAATCGGCCAGTTTGGTCATGCATCTTCCCGTTTGCCAATAGCAGTTCTCTACCAGCCATTCTGAACCCTTTTTTTTTTGCCTTGGCCATAAAGACGATATGAAAAAATACTGTATATAGGCAGAATCAGGACTGTATAAGTCGCATAACAAACCTCATAAGGTGATGTGTGAAGAATCATTCTTCTTTGTGGCCTCTGTGAGTCACACTGTGGGTGATCTGCTCCTGTGCAGAGCCTCGTCGGAATATTCTAGAGCTTCTGCGGTAGCAAAAAACACATTAAAATATACCCCCCCTCCATATAAGTACCTTGGCTCCAGGACTCCCCCCTTTTTTTTCAACTGGCACGTTGAAGAGCCTCGGACTTCTATCTTCTGTGAGTCTGACGCAAAACAAGTATATTTTACTTCTAACTTAATTTTTTTCTATTTTTCTTTTATTGTAATAGAAAGATAACATAATACAAACTGTTTTTAGTTTTTTCCTGCATGCCTCGGCTTCCAGCCTGTCATTTTTTCTTTTTCTTTTCTTAATTGTTCATGACCCCCTTGGGCCCGTTCAAGCACTGCGTGATTTGCAATAATAAGATCCCACTATCAGATGGCCATAAATGACGAGTCCTCCGTTTTAGCCTATCTCAACTCAAACTCCATCTTTGGGAACAATCTTTGCAACCAGCAAAACCTATGGCTCAACCTCCGTGTAAAACCACTTCACAAGCTAAAGTCATGGAAAAAGCCATTGCAGAATTGTCGAAACATTGTTCCTCCGCTACTTCATCTCATTCTGATGCACCTTCCACTTCGAAAACCTCTAAGACACATAGATCCAAGCAATTGACATCAAAAACTTCAACATTGAAGCCTTCTGAAAAACAAAAGCTTCCTTCCAATCTGGTTCTGGGTCCCCCACAACTGAAATGATCTAAACAGACCAAATCAAAGACTCCTGTGGTCCCTCCACAAGAGGTCTCCGAACCCGGCGATTTAATCTCTGTCGGTTTGCCCTCTGATGATGAAGGAATTCCATCTCATCAACCAGTTTCTCAGTCACCGGCATGGGACGAGCGAGTGGGCCATCTTACTTCCTCGCCCAATAGTCCCCGACACTCTATCTCTCCTGCTAACCCGTCCACTGACGCCTCACTGGTGCCCTATCCTGGATCATGGGGACGGCCTCCATGGCCACTGGTGCACTATCAGGTGCATCCAGTATGTGAGGCAATTCCACAGGCCCATGCGAACCAATCCCGCACCCAGCAGTCTCATCGGGAAGACATTTGCCCCGATCAGTGCTTCTCTAACCTGCCGGCTGCAGATGCTTGACTGGCTGTTTTCTCTGGTCCCATATTAGCATCACGTCAAAAACCTCCATCTCAACAACCTTTGGTGTTGAAGAGGCCTTATCATTCAGATGCCCGCAGCCATCAGACAACTCTTAATCAACCACCTGCAAAAATCAGGGCAGTCGAGAAACACGCTTCAACTTGCGAAGCATTCGCAGCCCCATTAGTACATATTTTCCATCTCAAAATGATGGAGACCGTTCTTCCTGCTCGGCACCCCCAGCCTCGATTTACTCTACAGACCTACCAATGCATCCTCTGAATCGGCCTCAGCTGCCTTTTTGACACCATAGAAACACTGGTGCCAATATAGATGACTCTCGATATCCCTCTTGGTCCATGGATGCTTCACTTCAATCTTTCTCGGTTGCTAGCCCTCAACAGCAGCTCCAACCTAGACATGCAGTTACTGATCTGTAATTGTAGTTCTTTGAGTGGACCCCTGTGAGTCACACATCCCACCCGACCTCCCCTCTGTCACGCAATGCAGTGTTTTCTTCTTGCGGCGGTTGACACCACTGAAAGGGGAGTCCTGGTGCCAAGGTACTTATACAGAGGGGTAGGGGTTTATTTTAATGTTTTTTGCTACCGCAGAAGCTCTAGAATATTCTGACGAGGCTCTGCGCAGGGGCAGATCACCCACAGTGTGAATCACAGAGGTCCATTCAAAGAACTACAATTACAGGTGAGTAACCTGCCATTTTCAGTCTTACCTGTTTCAAATGTGTTTTTTTTGGGGGGGGGTAAGGGGCCATATCCATCCATTGAGAATGACTGCTCTAGATGACTGTCCCCAACCCCCAGTCTACGGCCCGATGCTGGTCCATGGCCTGGGCCAGACCGGGCCGTGGAGACAGATCTCCCACCCCCTTGCATGCACTCCCACCCCCGCACAGCCCATTCACACATGTGCGAGCACCCCTCACCCCTTTGTGCATTTGCACGAGTGCCCCCTGAGCGTCCCCAGCCTTTGTGCAAGTGCGCAAGTCTGCACCCACCCGCGTGAGCATACACATGAGCACGAGAGGTGCCCCATCTTCCACAACCGGTCTGTGGTGTTAAAAAGATTAGAGACCAAGGTCTCTGGGCGGCTTACAACAATTAATCTTCCACAACCGGTCTGCGGTGTTAAAAAGATTAGAGACTACTGCCCTAGACAGTGCAGCCTCTGGAATGAGAAAAATAACCCTGAAACCTTATGAGGCTTACCTCTGATCTAACGTGTGTGATGTGTTAGGCCTCGCTGTATCCCAGAATCAGTTGAGGATGTAATCTAGAACATGCCCAGCACTGTTTTATGGATGCACAGTGAGGGAAAATCAGTAGCAGAGGACTTAGTATCTTTCAGGGAGCCTTCAGCACTTGCAGTTTTGTTTTTTCTTATTTGGAAACATAGGAACGAATTTTGAAGATACCAGAAAACAGCTGTTAGTGTAACGAAGGCCATTGGTAATTCTTCCCTCTTTTTGCCATTTGAAATACCAGTTCAATACAAATTTCAGATACGATGCAAATCAGCTTGATGTAGAGTGGGATAAAAATTGAATAGACGAAATTAAGAATGCCCATAAGTTCCTGAACTTTACTATGATGGTAAAATCATTGTGCTGGCTTTGTTTTATGGCTTTGTTTTTAATTTCTTAAAATGATCCCTCTTTTCAGATTGCAAATAATAATCTATTTCCTGATCCATTGCTGAAGCCAAGTGATCCATGTCAGAAGTACTGCCAGGTCAGATGCCCTTTTCACCTACTTTTTTGAACAGAGTTCCTTAATATCTTTCTCTTCTGCTGGCCCATAACTTTTCTCCTCTGAATTAAATAAACATGTTTCCCTCCCTCCCTCCCTCCCTTCCTGCATATGTATTTCTTTTTAAATCAGCCAGTCTTTCAGAACTGCGCAGGGCCAATGCAAGCATCATGCTTCCAGTTTCTCGTTCACATGTACGCATTCATTACCAGTCTGTGGTACTTTTATCATCCTGACCTTTCTTAGGCCTCAAATAGGTCCTGTGTGGCTGCACTATTGTTAGCCATTTCATGATATCACAGCTAACTCTGAGTTCTGGATTAATTAAAAATCACAAATGGTTGGGCAGAACATATTTGCTAGGGAATGGAAAGGCACCTCCTTCCCATATGATTTCCACTATCTCTGAAAAAACTCCCCTCCCAACTCCCTTATTAGTGTTATGAGTAGAGATGGGGGTGTTCATATTCATATACGAATATCCCTGCACAGATGGAAATAATTAGGGTGCGGCCCACTCATGATTTCACCGCTGCCACCGGCTCCACAGAGGCTTCCTGTCACGGCTAATCCGACCTGGTGGAGAGGCTTGTCATCCCGCCTCCTGCCAGGAGTGGCTAATCTATTGTGGACAACAGCGCAATAGGAAGGTTTGACAAACTCGCGTCAGCGGCGAAACCATGAGTGGACAGTGATTTCCACCTGTGCACTATTTCCACCTGTGTGAGGATATTCGAATACGAATACCCCCATCTCTAGTTATGAGGCAAAATGGATTTAGGAACCCTGTGCTTGTCTCTTCAAGCCCTAAAAATATAGTATTAAGTGACCATAAACCAGGGATGGAGAATTTATGACTTTCAAGATGTGTTTTAGATTTTGACTTTCAGAAGCATCAGCCAAACTAGGGATTATCGGTTTTGTAGTCAAGAAAATTAGATTCCTAGTGTAATGTAGTGGATAGAGGACTCTGGAGAACAGGTTCAAATCCCCGCTCAGCCATGGAAACTCATTAGGGGAGTAGAATTGGTAGAAAAATTTCTTTATCTCACTTATCTTGAAAGCCCTATTTAGGGTCACTATAAGTCGGTTCGGACTTCACAGCACATATACTCCAGTAGGTCTGGGGTTGTCACAGAAGGTTTGACGAACTCGCATCAGTGGTGAAATCATGAGTGGACAGTGATTTCCACCTGTGCGCTTTTTCCACCTGTGTGAGGATATTCAAATACGAATACCCCCATCTCTAGTTATGAGGCAGAATGGATTTAGGAACCCTATGCTTGTCTCTTCAAGCTCTAAAAATACAGTATTTAGTGACCATAAACCAGGGATGGAGAATTTATGACTTTCAAGATGTGTTTTAGATTTTGACTTTCAGAAGCATCAGCCAAACTAGGGATTATCGGTTTTGTAGTCAAGAAAATTAGATTCCTAGTGTAATGTAGTGGATAGAGGACTCTGGAGAACAGGTTCAAACCCCTGCTCAGCCATGGAAACTCATTAGGGGAGTAGAACTGGTAAAAAAAGAATCTTAAATATCTCACTTATCTTGAAAGCCCTATTTAGGGTCACTATAAGTTGATTCGGACTTCACAGCACAGAACACATACAACACACCTAGGGACGTTCTTAAGTAGAGACCCCACTGTACAACACACAGTCCAGAATGTTAGATGGGCTAGCAGTTTTCCCACTCATGTCTATAAAACTGGTGTATCTCTAGTGCTTGGTTCCATGAGGCCCCGCAGATACTGAAAACTGCAGATAATAACTCTTTTCCCACTCATGTCTATAAAACTGGTGTGGTATACAGTACCAGCTAATACTGTATCTAGTGCTTGGTTCCACTAGGCCCTGCAGATACTGAAAACTGCACATAGTAACTCAAAACCTCTCTCTCTCTCTCTCTCTCTCTCTCTCTCTGTGTGTGTGTGTGTATACACATACACATACACAGATACAGATACAGACATTGATAAACACTCAAATTTCATATATATGAAATGATAAAAGGAAAAAAAGGAAAACAAAAGAAACGGTGTGTTCACGTGCATTACCAGAACTGGCCACTAGAGGGTACCAGGGACCATGCGGCATATTCCTCACTAACAGGTATTCATAGCACAGTCTCTGGCTATATCTGGTCTCCTGTTATGGTAATACATGCGAAAATATTTTTTCCTGGATCGTTTTCTTTTAATATTTTTTAATATTTTCACACCATGGTGCAGTGAAACCCCAGATACTGATCCCACAGATATGGAACGACTACTGTACTAGCCAAGAATGGAAACACCTAATTTAAGTTTCACATCTTTTATCAACTTTTATTATCATCTTCCATAATCCACTGATTTTCTTCTTCCGTGTTTCCATATGGGATAATAGTATTGGTTTGCCTTCTAGGGCTGTTTTCTCCATAACCCATTGTGCTTGTGAAGGCACTGAGTAAAATGCTGTATGAATACTAAGGTTTATGATGATTAATCAGTCCATGGGCAGTATAATGCAAGACCTACATTATTTTATTCTCTAATATCTTTCATAGTTAGGGAACTTTGAGCAGTATTTGCTCACCTTTAAAAACACTGGTATTCCTAAGGCCTTGGCAGGTACATCTGCCTGCATCTCAAAGGATGGCTTTTTAGGCCAAGAATACTCCATGAACAGAAACAAAAGGCTAAAAGATATGATGTGGGAAAATGGGCCCCTCAGGTCAGATGGCGTCCAACATGTTAATGAGGAAGAGCGGAGGACAAGTACAAGTAGCTCCAGAGCTAATGAAGTGGTTGGGCCAAAGCCGAAAGGACACTCAGCTGTGGACGTGCCTGGAAGTGAAAGGAAAGTCCGATACTGCAAAGAAAAATACTGCATAGGAACCTGGAATGTAAGATCTATGAACCTTGGTAAGCTGGATGTGGCCAAACAGGAGATGGCAAGAATAAACATTGACATCCTGGGCGTCAGTGAACTAAAATGGACAGGAATGGGTGAATTCAATTCAGACAATTATCATATCTACTACTGGGGGCAAGAATCCCATAGAAGGAATGGGGTAGCCTTCATAGTCAGCAAAAGAGTGGGAAAAGCTGTACAGTGGTGCCTCACTTAACGAGTGCACCGTATAACGACGAATTCGCATAGCGATCTGTTTTTTGGGATCGCTAATGCGAAGGCATACCAACGGTTCCAATGGGCAAAAATCGCTTAGCGACGATCGGGAAGCGTTTCGCGGATTAACCTTGCTATGCGGGGCACCACTGTAATGGGATATAGTCTCAAAAATGATAGAATGATTTCAATA